ACAAGTTTCCACTATAAAGGCATGCATTTTTTTTATTTTCACCTTGGTATTTTTTAATTTATAGATATCTACTATATAGAAAAGGGATTTTTGTACATTAATTTTAGTTAAGTATTTCATTGATTTTTAATATATGTGCTATTGAGCCAAAATGCCTTACATAAAAGTTATAAAATTTAATTCTTTATCAATAATTTTAGAATTAATTTCTTAAAAAAAGAAGTAAAATATTTATACCCTCTATTCTTCGTTTTCTTTTCGTATTATTGTATGGATGGCCAAAAAATCATGTGAGATGATAATTGAAATAATTATTTACATTAATTGTTGATGTCTATATACTCTCATCAACAAGCAATAATTGGTATTATGTTTTGTATTTCCAATTGAAACAACGAGTTACCGTATCAGATTTGATTGCATGAGTTGGGGAAAAAGACATTTATAAGTGGAATTTATTTCTAACGAAGATGAAGAAGAGACAAGGAACAAACACCTTTCTGGTTGATATGGGACCATAGATCTGTTTTTTTTCAAGCGAAAGTCACAAAAGTTGTTGTATATCAAGCCACCAAATATGAGGTGTAGCTCAGAGCCTCAAAGACTTTTTTTTAAAAAAAAAAGGTGTTCCAACGAAGAAGATAAGTAAATGGATAAACCTAGCTGATTAAGAAATAGAATTAGCTGTAACCGAGTTTTTCTTTTTTGAGGTTGCCTGAGTCTTCGAATATTCTCGTTTTTTCCTTCATGTTCATTAGGTTTGGTGTCGGTAGGGTGGGTTTCCTGCTTCATTTTCTTACAAGCCATTAGGGATCTAAAACAAAAGGGAGAACTGACTTAGATTTCATGCGTACTAGAATACCACAATGAGATGCATATTGCAATTATAAAAGCAAAACAAAAAAGCTTCAGTGTTTTGTTGCATCTACACATGTATTATTATGGATTGAAATAATATGACCATCTCTTTACTTTTTTTTTTAACAAAATCATTTAATTATACTTTTTTTTAATAAAATCATTTAATTACCTAATATGACCATCTCTTTACTTTTTTTTTAACAAAATCATTTAATTATCTATTAGAGTTAACAAAGTCTTTTCCACTTAATTTATTTGTTGTTATCATACTGATTAAGTTTCCACTTAATTTATTTGTTGTTATCATATTGATTGAGATTAAAGATAAATCAATCTTTTAACATTCCAATGTTAAATGACTAAAATATCATTGAAGACAAAAAGTTTAAAAATGAGGTTGGGGGATTTAATGGTCTTTTAACAATTTGATTGTACAATAAAATGACTATATTGTTCTTAAAAGCCAAAAAAAATTAATGTTCAAGGACTTTTTTGTATTTTTATGATATTTTTAGTTATAATCAATTTGAATAAAAGTCAATTTAGTCTTGTAGCAAATATAAATATAATTTAAAAATAAAAGTGGTTGACATGTGTATAGGTGATGTGTATGGCATCTCTTGGTTATCAAACAACACCTTTTACTATGGTGTTGAAAGCTCCACATCATTCTCTTCCTAGTATCACACGTATGCACACAATAAAGCAACAGTTGGGCTTTAATCAAGTTTTTTTTCTTTCATCTTTTTTTCCTCTCTCCTCACCTCAGATTTCACGATATTTTAATTTAGGTATCCAATTTGGTTAAATAAAATCGCTAAGACCTTTTAAGAATATTTAAAGAGTATATTTTCATAATATTAGCAAACATTTATTTTTTTATTAGTCATTGACATTTTTTCTTGCTTTTTTATTGTCATTAGTTTTTTTTATAATTATATTATCAGTTCAACTGAGTTTATTGAACTTATTCAAATCAATTATCTGAGTTTCAAATTAGTCTTACTTCTTTAAAAACATTATCATCATTTGAATATTTTTTTATCTTATAAAATATTTGACTCTACTCCTAACATAGCACGAGTCACCTATCTAGTTTATTTTAGATGTTGTTATAACAGTGAAGGTAAAGAAGGTGGTCATGATGGTGATGATAATAATGATGATAGAGGTGATGATAAAAATGATAATGATATAATTATCTTTTTCATTTTTTTTCTTTACAAGGCTATTTCATTCTCATTTTATTTTTCAGTAATCAAATAAAATCGCTAAGACCTTTTAAGAATATTTAAAGAGTATATTTTCATAATATTAGCAAACATTTATTTTTTTATTACTCATTGACATTTTTTCTTGCTTTTTTATTGTCATTGGTTTTTTTTATAATTATATTATCAGTTCAACTGAGTTTATTGAACTTATTCAAATCAATTATCTGAGTTTCAAATTAGTCTTACTTTTTTAAAAACATTATCATCATTTGAATATTTTTTTATCTTATAAAATATTTGACTCTACTCCTAACATAGCACGAGTCACCTATCTAGTTTACTTTAGATGTTATTATAACAGTGAAGGTAAAGAAAGTGGTCATGATGGTAATGAAATGATGATAATAATAATGATGATGAAGATGATGATAAAAATGATAATGATATAATAGTGTTGAAGATGGATATAACAGTGTTAAAGGTAGTGATGGTTGGGAATGATAAGGTAATTGAAGAAGATGATTATGGTAAAATGATAATGGTAATAAAAAAGAAAGTGGTTAAAATAATTGGAAGATACTAGAAGTAAATTACTATTTGTAAAATATTTTAAAGTAATTCATGAGTTGAAAATTAAATAAACTAATTTTTAAAAGTTGACGATGAAATATTTTACATTGATCTATGACATATCTTATAATAAATAAACACATAAAGGAACATTTTTCAATAAACCAATAAAGAGAAATCCTATGAAATATTTCATGCGAAAGAAGCGGACCCTTAAGAAGACATAATTGAGGAGTAAATTTTACTTAATGTTCTATAGTAAAATGATAATGAAGATTAAGTTTATATATATATATATATAAAAAAGGGAGGTAGAATCCTTAGGTTGGAGTAACATGCAGCCATGGACAGAGACCCTCTAATAGAAAAGGCTGTAATTGTCACGACACTGTGAATCTTCTGCATCCATCAATGCCATTATTATTCCTCGTGTCTTGGAGGTCAACATGGAATATATTCCATATCTTCATCCCAATTATTCAAAAATTGTAATTCATAAACACCTTTTTCACAAGTATTTCTAAGATATCATGTACATGTTTCAATCTTTTAGATCATGACGTGTGTGTTGCATTGAAATTACATGATATCTATAATGTTGTTTAAAATTATAGTATTGATTATGGTTTAAAATATTTTTTATTTATAAATATATTAAAAAAATTATTTTAATATATTTTTAAATAAAAAATACTTTAAAAAATAATAATTATTATAATTTTAGATACCCTTCCCTCGCGATTTTCCACCTTAATTATTATTATACTTTTAAATACCCCTTTTCTCACGATTTTCCACCGCATATTATTTTTTAAAATATTTATATATTAAAATTATTTTTAATATCACTATATTAAGATAATTTAAAGAATCACAGAAGTTCCTTTATATATTTAAG